AGGGTTTAAACTGGCCTGAGTCCTAAAGCACTGTGCCCTCTGCGCCGCAAGCCAAGTTCAATCGCAGTAAGAAATCCAGTCATTACTGGGATGTTTAAGCCATTCAGTGTAACATCAGCAAAGTATCTGACTAGATAGGTGGGTTTTGCTTTTCCCTCACTGAATCGCTTAGATTTTTGAAAGCTGTAGGATTTTGAGAAGGTATTTGGTATCAAATCACATCCAGAAAGCATTTTAAACTTTTCTAAAAGTTAGGCATTTGGTTCAATTTCATTAAGCCAGGCTCTAAGCTGCCTAGAAGCAGGCCCCCTCGGAAGGCATGGAACCAGAGCACCGCTTTGCCAGTAATTGCCGCTACACACTGACGATGCCCTCGTGGCCTCCAGAATTGACTGCAGCTTCCCAAAGTGCCCGGCATGCAGCCGGAATTTGCTGTGGCTCCCCAGAGAACCCAGATCGATGGAAACTGTTGAAAATGATGGCCTTCAGAGGAGCGGTTATGTAACCACGGAGCTTTCCTCAAATTCAGTTTTGCACACTGGTTCCCATAGCCCATTGGTGACATGTGTGACCCACATGTGGGGAGCAGGTGTGTTCAGTCTCATCTCCTGGTGGGAGGGAGTCATGGTGAAGGGTGGTATAACCTTGCCTTTAACTGAACAAGTTCTTCTTGACGGAGCATCTTAGGAGGTGGCCCTGCTCATATCAGGGAAGGCTGAGTGGAATCTCAATGGGGTCTTAACAGTAAGTCTCTAGCTTTGAAAAAAATAATAATAAGATAAGATAAAATGAGGTCTTAAGGAAGAAAACCCTCAGGTACCTGATAAAGAGATTTTTAAACAATGTTAACCCCAAGTGTCACATTCAGGCTAAATCTGCACTTTCATATTTGCTTGGATGTGGAGAAAGAGAGGGAAGCCCCATTCCAGTAGGGGCATCTGGTCTACCACTTCATTGAAGGCGACAACAACTGGGCAAGGATCTGATATCCACAGCTTAGTCCTTGTTTCATATGCACCTGGAACATTTACCTCTCTGGGCTTTAGGCTCTCAACATATAAAACAGACAAAATATTAACATGGCTCACGCACATCTCAGCGCTGTTGGGGACAATGGATCAGGGTCCAGCACAGGCAAAGTCTAAGGTTCACTCTCTGCAAATGTAGGTGCTCGTGATGTTGGCCACTTTGGCGCAGCGGTTGAGGGCATGGGCCCTGTGAGTCAGAGACCAGCCCAGAGTGGAGTCAAGAATGAGCCAGGAGAGGGGGCAGGGAGGAAGGGAGTATTTCCTGGGGAGACTGGGCTGCGGGGGTCTCGAGGTGGGCCTGCCGCCCAGGGCCACTGAGCACTGACTTCTCTTTGTTCCCCAGGGCCTCTACCCGCTGCCCCTGCTCAACAGCACCCTGGACGACGGGAAGGCCACCCTGACCCCTTCCAATACACCCTTGGGGCGCAACCTCTCGACTCACCAGACCTACCCCGTGGTGGCAGGTACGAAGCCCAGAATCCCCTGGGCCCCGTGGCCCGCGCTGCGAGGATGGGCCGGAGGGCAGAGCTGGCTGATGGAGAGGAGGAAGGTGTTAGGGTCCTGGGCCTGGAGAGGAGAGGGCGCTGTGCTGGCTGGGCCTCCGTGTGGGTCAGGAGGGTCTCGCCCTCTCTCCT